ATAGACAATTTATATAACCAGATCAAACAATTACACTGTATATCAATACACAATATGCTAGATAGGCTATCAATCTTCTCAACACTATCTGGCCTAGTACCAGACGAAATTATTACCCTTATCTCAAACTTATCAACTCGGAAAATAGCAACAACACTTGTAATAAAATTCCTACTTTATCTTAACCAACAAGTTTATCATAATATTTGGATTCTCTACTGCATTTCAAGATCAGCAGCCCCTTCTTTTATTAACAACCCACATTCTAACACTACTTTACACCCATTTCAACCTGTCTCCTTTACTAATATTAGCTCTAAAATAAATTCTTGGTATATACAATAGATTAAATATCAAACTAATCTATCCTATATTATTATTAATACTCAAATATAGGTGAGCCATGGCCACTCCAGTTGGTTTAGGCTGCAGATAAACTAGTCTGAGCTTCTATTCTTTTTATAATATTTTAAAAGTAGATTAATACTTTATGTTATAATCTCAATTAAATATTCAATAAAGTTAGAGGCATGGCCTCACCATTAATATTAAAAAAAAAATAAAAAAAAATATATAATGATAATATAATAAAATATTGATAAGAATATAATAATAAAATGATAAAATATAAGAAAAAGAAAAGAAAAGAGAAAAATATTAAAATTTGATGAAATTTTGGAGTACTATATCATTAAATTCGACCTCCTAGTCAAAGTCATCAAACTCATCAATATTTAAAAATTGTATTTATGTTTGGTCTTTTAATCGTTTGGCTTCAGGTACTAGAGTATCATAAAGTTAATATAGTACTTTCATTTAAGATAAAGAAGGGTAATTTGCTGAACAGCATAAAGATATAAATAATCATGAGTGTTAAAAAGTTGATAAGTTCGTTAGACTATTTTCCATACATTTCTGGCTTTTCTTGGTGAAAAATATGAATATAATTCTCATAAAGCAGAGGGTTGCCAATTTTGAGTTTTTAAGAGTTGTCCAAGTTTAAAGAAAAGTTCAAGTATAGTTCTATTTGTGTGTATTTATTTTTGTATTTAAGTGATAGCACCACAGATATGAGCTAGTTTTTGTTTAAAGTTAATACCAGGGATATAGAGGTTTAAAGTAATATTTTTAGGTTTTTCTCTGTCAAGGTCTAATAAATAAATATATAGATTATTGTGGATTCATTGAGCTTCATTTTCACTTTGGCTTGGGTATGGAAAATGTTAAACTGAAGTAGAGTTTTGTATTTGAATAGAACTAGAGAAGATAGTAATAGTTTCATCAGTTTGATAATATTGTAATAAGGATAAGATATAAGGTTTAAGAGTGTTAAATCATTGGGTAAGATTCATTTTAGTTGTTTTTTTTTATAGTGAAGATAAAAATATAGATATTGAATGAATTTCTATAGTTTTTATAATAAAATTTGTGGTTCCCAGTTTGGCAATTCTTTGTACAGCTTTAATAAATTCTCATTTACTATTTTTGCGAGTACTTTACTATTTATAGTTCATAATTGATATGTACTATTATTAAATTTATTGTGTATATAAAATGGTCCTGTGAATTGTTCTTCTAATTTCTTTTGAGAAATTCCTTTGGTATACAATCTTGCATTGAATAATAAAACTTTATTACTGATTTGGTAATCATGAGGATTAATATGTTGATCATGATACTTCTTTTGTTTATCTTGTACTTTAATTACATTAGTTTGTGCTTCAATTCTTTGTTGAGGTAGACGTTCAATTAACTAGTATATGTGATGAAATCATTTTTTGTAGCCATTATTCTACGAACATTGCCCATATCGATTATAAATTGAAATTCTACAGATAGCACTGCATCTCGGCCATACAGTAAATTAAATAGTTCAAATTTGGTAGTTGTTTGTTGATGTGTACTATATGCAAATAGGACAGAACGTATATGAACATCACAATCTATAAAAAATATGACAACATATTTTGCTAAAGTTTCACATTAAGTTCTGTTAAATTATTCAACAAGTCTATTTGTTTTGGGGTGATAACTAGAGGATAGTTTGTGTTTAGTTCCTAAATATTCACAGAGAGAGTCTATTATTCCATTTACAAAGTATGTTCCTTGATTAGTTAATGGATTTCAGTAGAGTTGCTTAGATTTGGAAATTCAAGATAACAGGTTTGTTAATAAATATTTTCTTCAGAGAACTTTTGTTTAATTATACCTTGATCCTAAAGTTGAGGTGGAGTGTATTTAGATTTGCTGTTGGCCCAAGAGAAACCACAATGTTGGGTATATAGATAAAGAAGTTTAGTTTTCTCAAAAGTAAGAATAGAACCTTGTTACCAATTTTTTGAAAATTATCTAATCTATTAAAAGGAATCCACTCGATTACATCTTCATATTCTGTAGCTTTAAGTTGAAATTCTTTAATACAATTATCAACATCCTTATTTCCACTTGTCCATTCTTGTGTTGTATATAAGGATCGCATGTTTGACACCAAGCTAGCGATGTATTATATCGCTTGCAGTTTGCACATTTTCCATTTCGACCATCTCTTTTAAAACCAAATTCATCAAATACAATCATATATTCATTTGTTGCGGTGTTCTGAGTTAGTCCATATATTTTAAGACTGTTATTCTTTAATTGTATATAATCTGTAAACTTATTAAACATGTAAGCATAGATTAAAATAAAGCTGTATACTGTGGCAATAATAATAATTTAAATATAATTTTATCTTACTTCTTTTAACATATCTAACAAATTTGGTGATCTAGTTAATGTTTTAAGTTCCACCCTACACGATGGTGTACGTGACTGTATATATTCGTATATCCGTTTGTCTTCTATATATCGTATTCCATCTAACCAGGTTGCCGAAACCTTATCGCCAATCTTTTGAATATTAACTAATCTATTAAAAGGAATCCATTCGATTACATTATCATATTCTGTAGCTTTAAGTTGAAATTCTTTAATACATTCATCGACATCCTTATTTCCACTTGTCCATCCTTGTATTGTCTTCTGAGGGTC